GGCTAGGATTCAATCAGTATGAAAGGGAACCAGGAACTGATTTTTTTGCTTTTCTCCAGTATTTATGAGATTGACATACTGGGCTGTGACATTTGATTATATTTGATGTGGTTGTGTATGTGTGCTCTTTTTAAAGACTTTACTTACTTATTTGAGAGAGAGCACAAGTTGGGTGGGGAGAAAAAGAAGGAGACTCCCCATGGAGCAAGGAGCCCAGCATTGGGCTCAGTCACAGGACCCCAAGATCATGACCTGCACCAAAGGTAGGGGCTTAACCAACTGAGCCTCACAGGCACGCCTAAGTGGTTGTATTTTTAAAGACAAATTTTAAGACTATTTCCCCCTCTTATATGGCCTTCAGTTTAGGCTACTTGACCATCCTATCGTCACAAGTAGAAGAGAGAAAATAAGCTGTAGTATGACACTTCAGGTGTAACTTCCCAATGACAGTCTCCTCTGCAGCTAGAAGATGGAGTGTTAAATGAAATCTCAGTCTGATTCTTTTATTTTTCCTGATCAGTGTCTTGCATCTATATTCAGTTGGTTTCATTATAACTGTCATTCCTCTTAGAAAAAAAAGTCTTACTGACTTGCTTCTAGTTTTCTTTCATAGAATTAAAATGAGGCAAGAGTCATTCTTGTTTTTGTTCCTGCTGTATTCCTAGCATCCACCACAGAGCCAAAAATATGAAATATGCTTAGTGAATCATTGTTAATGGCTAACGGAATTTCCATTCCTGATTATAAATTTAGTCTTCACAAAAAGAATTCATTCAAAAAGCACATCCCAAATTAACTTGGAAACATTGCTACTTATTTCCTTTTCATTTTGTTTATCTTAATGAATTAATTCATTTCACCAATGCTTACTTGAAATGCATATTAATTAAGTGTTTAAAAGTAAAGAAATACAAATCAGAAGAGGAAGGACTTAAGTTCTGGTTGCATTATTTATTATCTAAGTAATCTTGGCAATTAATTCATTGCTTCTGGCTTCAGATTTCTCATTTATAAAGTGGGATAAAAGCTCTTATGGTCAGGGATTTTGTGAGGATGAAATAGATACTATATGCAAAGTGTAGTACCTGGCACTGATTAACGGTTCCTAAAAATATTATCAGGTGTGTAAGCCTCTGTGTTAGGATACAAATGTGAACAAGATAAACCCCCTTAGGATGTTTACAAATTAGTTCTGGCAAAGAAAACATTAATTGAATAATTACACTGCAAGAAAGACAGTATCAGTAGAATCACAAAGTTGCAAGAAAAGACTTGATTCCTGTTTTAAAATACATGTTTTATTATTTCGGCCAACAGATCAGATGACTGCCATTGAAAAGATAGTTTGTTATACTCACAGATCCCTGTGGCCACATCACAGGGGGTAGGGGCACAAGGGAAGAATGACATCTGTCAGAAAGGTGGTGAGGTGGAGTGTGTATGTTGTGGCTGAAGTGGACTGAGCCTTTACTGCTTCTTTTGGAAGGATTGGATGAGACAGGGTTAGCAGGTTTAGGATTGCCTTGTCTGAATAATTTCTTTTGGTTCTGGGATGTAGGGGCTGTCTTTAGTTGTACCTGGCCTTGCATGATTGTGGTAGGCGTAGAGTGGCTCCGAGTGTGAGTTCCATAAAGGAGGTGGTTGACAATAAGGGCTCTAGGTTGGTTGGTTTGCATATGGAAGGGGCAATCCTAAGTGAATTATTTGCTATCTCTAGGAATTAGCTAGCTCTGGGAAGAGCAGTACCTCCAAGGTCAACAAGGCCCCAAGATCTCAGAGCATCAAAGATACAGAAAAAAAAGACCTGATGAATGCAGTGGCTCTGAACTCATGAAGCATGGAAGTAGCCAAGTCCAAGTTTCTTTTCAAATCCAACTGTATCCCCAATCCACTTGTCCCCTGTCACAGCACCCTATTTACTTCTGACCACTTACCGCTTGTTCTTTTCTTTGCTCACCTATTCATTCTCTCTATGCCATTACACTGTCACATCCAGGAAGGTGAGAAATTTGCTTGTCTGGTTTACTGCTCCAGTTCTAGTTCCTGACATGCAGAGGATTACCAATAAACATTTGTTGAATGAGTGAGTGAAAACAGTAGTACTTGATGGTTGTGTGTGGATGTGTGCACAGGCACATATGACTATTCATACATGTGTAAAAATGTGGATATTTGTGTTGCTGAATGTGTGTGTGTGTTTTGCATAGAACAGGTTCCAGCCTTTAGTCTAAGCTGTGTCTGTGGCTAGGTTTCAGCCAACGCTGCATGTCTGGCAGGTTCTTTGATAGGCCTATCAGAATCTAGCACACAGGTCTTCCTGGAGAAGTAAACTCATGCTGGTCAGGCCAGCAGACAAGCTCAAGACAGTACAGGACACCTCAGAGGACAACTCAGGTTGGAAGGAAGAATCGTTTTTGTGCATATAATGCTATATTTCTTGTGGAGGAGTCTTGGCCCTGCCCCCTCGTGGATGTATAACTTATCACTTGTGAGAGAGACACCTCTGCTTAAAAACTGAAAGATGTGTTTTTAACAAAAACTCTATAATACTTTAGAATGCTTTATTAATCAGATTCCAGCCAGAAAATCAAAACCATTCCAGGTAAGCAAAAGTGGAAGAATTTAATAAACTTGGAGGATAATTTACAAGGTGCTAGAAATGCAATTAAAGCAAGAAGCAGGGAGCTGAGTCAATCCAGATATTAGAAAATGCTGGAAAGTGCTAGTGTTCTTTGGCCAGGAGTCAGAGAGTGAAGAGCTGGAGCCAGGAGCTAGGGCCTAGCTGCAGAAGCTGGAACAATGGTGGTTTGGACTGGCATGGGTGGGAACACAGACACAGGGCCTTTTTGGAAGGAGCTGGAGCCATGGAGAAGATGAGCCACTGGTCAAGATATTTTCTAAAGTGAACCAAGGAAGAAATAGCCGGGCTTCTCCCATTCTCTCCCTTTGAATCTTCTACCAGTGCCCTCCATCAGCTGAACCTAACCAGACACAGTAGGTAAGGAAGCCAGAAAACCACAGTTTGGAAAACTCAGCTTCCTCTAGGACAGAGCAGAGGAGAGGATGTGCAGGGAAAGGATCTGAAAGGAAACTGGGAAATGACAAGCACAGATGAGGGCAGTTTTGGTTAGTATCCCATAAAGAGATCACAACATAAAATTATTTATTTTTTCAATTTTTGGCTTTAAGTAGGCTCCATATCCAGCATGGGCCTTCAGCTTACAACCCCGAGATCAAGGGTCACATGGTTTACCCAATGAGCCAGGCAGGTGCCCCTCAACATAAAAATAAAGGCTGGCATCAACTCACCAGCCCTTTCCCACACAACCTTGGCCTTTTGAACATTTTGGCAGATCAGTATGCCTCACTAGGTGCTTAATACCCAGGAGAAGTGCAAACAGTCTCTGGCAGAGACAGCCAGTAGAAGCAGAAGGAGGGAATCAGCATGGTGGTAATTCATCTTCCCCTTCATGCAGTTTATAAAATAAGGGATTGGCAGTTACAACACAGTACCTTATAAGAATAAATAACAGGTGACACATGATAAGTATTAATCTTGGTTTGGTACAGTTACATTCTCTGTTTCCATCATTTTACTGAATTTTCCTGACATAACCACCCCCACAAGCAGAGCACCAACTTGTGGCTGTGCACCATGAGGGGCTTGTGTCTTGGCATAGCTTTCTCAGCATCTTCTGTGTCCCTCCTTCATGATGGTGATGGCTGAGGCCAGCAGTGCTGTTTGAGCTGGAAGTGGCACCTACCTGGACCCTGATTCCTACTGTTCTCCTTCAGGGTTCTTTCTTTCCCTCTTTCTTGCATGGGAGGCACCAGAAGTCTCAAGGAATTCCAGGGCTTGTGCTTATAAGTAGGGATGTCCTGGAGCTCCATGGTTGAGTCCTGGCTCTGGGATGGGGAGGCAGCCTTGCAAGCAGACTGCTCTTATATAAGGCTGGCACAGTGTTTGTTTTGTGTGACTGTGTGGGATTGGGTTGCTGGAATGGTTCTGAAATGCATGTTTTGGTGACCTAAATTATTTATGTAGACAGGGTCTTGAAAAATTTTTTTTTTTCCCTCAGGATCACACACTCACGTTTTAGATGAGGAAACCAATACTATAGATTTAAAAAGTTTAATCCAGCATGCCTGGGTGACTCAGTGAGTTAAAGCCTCTGCCTTTGACTCAGGTAATGATTTCGGGGTCTTGGGATCGAACCCTGCATTGGGCTCCCTGCTCAGCGAGGAGCCTGCTTCCCTCTCTCTCTGCCTACCTCTCTGCCTACTTGTCATCTCTCTCGCTGTTAAATAAATAAATAATATCTTAAAAAAAAAAATAAAAAGTTTAATCCAAGATTACACCAAGAGTAAATGTTGAGTCCTAGGTTTTTACAAAGGCATTTTGAGTTTTAGCTCCTATAACGTATTATTCTATATGAGAACAGAGAAGGCACATTGTAGGGATTCTCAAACTAATTGGGAGATACCAGAAAAAATAAGAGGTCTTGCCATGGCAGATCTGTGAGTGGGGATGGGGTGGGCAGAGGTAAATTCTAGAGAAATATGGCCTTCAATGCAATGAGGCTGAGTCTGGATATACTGCAGCTGATGGGACCTACTGATTCCTTCCACGACTAGGTTGCTTATCAGTAATATGATTCTGCAAACTTTGAATAGAAAGCTGGAAGAAAACAACATTTGCTCCTTTTAATCCTAATATAAAACTTCCCCTTCCTTTCAAGATTCTTTCAAGACAAGGACTCTTAGAGCTCTCTGTTCCCACTGGCATCTCTGTACAAGGAAGGGCTTTTATGAGAGGTCCTTGAGAATGCTTCAAGTTAGGGCTTTGTTTCTTGTGGGAATATGAGGGAATGTGGAAAAACCTCCATTTGTTTAGTGAGGAAACATGATCTTCATGCTCTTCTCTAGGGTGAGTCAAGTGATAGTGACTGAAATTAGGTTATGACTGGGCTATAAATGTGTGTCTGTGCAGAAATTGCATAGTTAACTGGGGCCCTAGCTCAGTGGATTCAGTGCGTTTTGCGATTCAATTTTAAACTCCAGGCATATCTCACAGAAACCCTGTCATGAAGCTGGTAACTGTGTTTCTGCTGGTGACCATCAGCATTTGCAGTTACTCTGGTAAGTGGCCTGAACACACGTCTCTACTTTCCTATTAATACCAATGTAATCAGTAAGCCTTGGCTCCCAGGGGAGTATGGTGGAGGGAATTTTAGAATCACAGAATGGAAAGGTCGGAAGGGATTTCATGTGCAGCAATCCCCCACCCCCACCCCAGCCTACAAAGCTCTAACCCCATAGAAGCACTATCCTTAGTGAATCCTACCTAAGAAGTTAGCCAACTCAACACTAATTGTCAACATTCTTGAACGTTTTCCTTTTCTTTCTTAATCTTGAGTCAAAATCTCACTTTGTAACTTCTTTCTTTTGAAACTATGTGGAATCATTCTTCCTATCCTCTGTAATCAGTTGCCAGGTTGTTTCTCCTGAGACATAGCTACATTTATCATTCACACAATCAATGGATAGTTGCTGAATAACTACACCTGTTGGGCACTTGGATAAGTAGTAGAAGATTTAGATATGAATCAGACACAGAGATGGTTTACAAGGGGCATGTAGTCTGACAGAGGAGATAAGACTTGTTCACACAGAAGGCACTACAATGCGAGACTAATGCACGGAGATGTATATAGCCAGCGCTCTGTGGGAGAACTGGGGGGCCTACAGTTCAATTTCTAGGTGAGGCATAGAAGTTGGATTCTTGGAGGAGATTGGGAACTGCTCTGGTTTTTTTTTGAAGGGAGTCATTTTAACCTTGGGAAAATACATTTGGATGCATCTGCAAAATGCACTGTGATAGCCACTGTACATTCAAATAACAGAAAGCCTTGAAGGTCTTCCCCTGTAAGTATATAAGTCTATACAGAGAAGATAGTCACCAAAGCCTTTAAAATAAGTAGGGAGATTAATCATGAGAAAATTGGTGCTGCTCACACCCTCACTGGCAACTTTAGTTTGTGCTTTTTACTGAAATTTTGGACTAATTTGTAACTTCACCGGTTTTGGCTATTTTGTTATATTTAGTAACTAGCGTCAAATATCTACATATGGGGGGTGGAAACAGAAAGCTGGGTGAAAGGAAATAAATATCCCTCTTATGGGAGAGAATTTTGGAGGGACAATAGGTGGTAGAAGAGAAAGAAAAGATAGGTGCACAGGCTTCACTTGTACAATTTGAATGGGGAAATGGAAAGGATTCCAAAGGAAAATGAACTATGGCAGGGTCCTACTAGGAAGATGTGTGTTCTTTTTTTTTTTTTTCTTAAAGATTTTGTTTATTTATTTGAGAGAGGAGCAGAGAGAGTGGGAGAGAGAGAGCACAAGCAGTGTGAGGGGAAGAGGGAGAAGCAGACTCCTGACTGAGCAGGGAGCCTGACATGGAGCTTAATCCCCAGACTCCGGGATAATGACCCAGGCAGAAGGCAGACACTTAACGCACTGAGCCAACCAGGCATCCTGGAAGATGTGCGTTCTTATGTGTGTGCTTATGAATGTGTGTGTTTACATATCTGCACATGTGTTTTGTTAAAATGTATACTGTATGTATTTTTCTCATTCTCTACACTCTACCTCCTATTCATTTTCTATGTGAAAATTATTTTTCTAAAGACAAAGATACAAAATTCAGTTGTTCCATAGAAAAGCCTTGATACCTCCCCATTGCCCACAGGGAAAAAAGTTTCAAATACATTAATATAACATTCCAAGCTCTGAAAATCTGACCTCACCTGGGTTTTGCTGCCTTACCTCCTTTCCCCACCTCAGCATACCTCACTGCATTTCTGCACGCCATCTGCTCTGGAAGGCTCTCCAGGCAGTGTGCATACTTTCATCCTCACATTTCAGTCCCCTTGTTAATTTTGTTACTTTATACAGTGCACCTCCCCTCCCCTCCCCTTTACCTTGTGACCCTTGATTCTGCTTCAAGACACGGCTCTAGCAACATCTTTCTGTGAAGATTGCTCCAACACTCTACCACATTAGAACTGGTCATCTCTTCTCTTAGGTTTCCATGGAGCTTTATCCATGATGTGAGCATAGCACACGTCACATTGTGGCATATACAGATCTTTATTGTCCACTAGACTGTGTAAGTTCTCTGAATGGAATATCTTTGTCTTACTCATCTATGTATCTGCACTAGCCACTACAGAGCTGGGGTTCAGTTATGTTTCTAGCATTCAGTTGAATTGATTAGGAGCAGTTTCCTGGGCTGTATTTGGTTGGGTTCATGCATGTCCCCAAGTGAAGATTCTTTATGGAATCTACTCTTTGGCCTCAAAGCCATGGACTGTGGAGATAGCCACATGCAAAGTACATTCCTGTTCAGTGAACCACCAATATCTACTGAGTGCTTCCTACATGCCAGGGTCTATTCTAGGCATGAGGTGTAGGAGTGAATAAAACATAAACTTCTTGTTCTCATGGAGCCTGTGTACTAGTGAGAGGTTGAAGGCAAGAAATAAATAAATGAGATTTACTGTTTTAAGTAATAGTAAGAAAAAATAAAGGAAGTTAAAGGATAATGGATGATGCTACTTTAGATACCTTTCTGAGGAGGTAACATTTGAGGAGAGACATGTAGCTAACTGGAGAAAGAAAGTCCTAAGGAGACAGAACAGCAGATGCAAAGGCCCTGAGGCAGAAGTTCTCATCAATCAAGTGACATTTCATCGAATCAAGTGACATTTCATTGAATCAAGTGAGACTGAAACAGAGCTGTTTATGGATACAGTGGAAAGTAGGACAGTCATAGACAGGAGTCAGATGTGCTTATTTCACTCAGTTTCCCTTTTGCTCTGCAGCTACTGCCTTCTTCGTCAACAGTTTGCCAGATGCTGTCAACAAAGTCTTACCTTTACCTGTGGACAACATTCTTCCTTTTATGGATCCATTAAAGCTTCTTCTGAAAACTCTGGGCATTTCTGTTGAGCACCTTGTGGAAGGGCTAAGAAAGTGTGTGAATGAGCTGGGACCAGAGGCCTCTGAGGCAGTGAAGAAACTGCTGGTAACTATAGGTTGTGGGCTTATTTGTCAATGGGCAGAGCTTAGCCACCTAAATATCTGCCCTTCCCCCACCCCTCCCCGCTTTCCCCCTCACCCTGTTCTCGCTTGTGGACATGTATTTCCTTGGATGTACTCGTACAAAGCTTGCATGTCGAGGAATCTCAAGGAAGGTGCAACATCTACACTTCTAGAAGGGATTTTTTAATGAAAGAGACCTATGTTCTGATTATCACTTTGCATTTCTCAGCTTGGTGATTCTAGTTGGGATTTAACCACTCTGGGCCTCCATTTCCACATCAGTAAAATGCTGGCTAAATAGGTTGGTGACTATTTTTGGAAACATGCTAAGCACATGTAAGCCACATTATTTTTATTCTTATCCTTCTGCCTTTCAGGAGGCGCTGTCGCATTTGGTGTGATGTCAGCACAAAACAGCCGCAGAGGGGAAGGGGAATGGTGTTCTGCAGGGCTAGAATTCCTTCCATCCTAAGATGTAGTGACCCCTGAAAAGAATGAATAAAGCAATGAATAGATTTTGTTTTGTCCTGTGTTTATTTCTGGATGTTCTGCTCAGAAGGGCCCAGAAGATAATTTTCCCCTTGGGTCATAAACTCCAGAGAGCCTCTTGTTATCAAGAGAACACACATTTTCCTCCCTCTCTGCTTGATTCTAAGTTAAACATCATCATTTTCTTCAACTGCTCTTTGACAGTATTTCTGTGCCTCTCAAGCTCCTATTCCCTCACTTCTAAAGAATTTTTTAAAATATAAAAATGAAAATATTTGTAAATCCTGTATCCAGTAAGGGGTTAATATCCAAAATGTATAAGGAACTCATATAGCTCAATAGCAAAAACCAAAACAAGGTGAAACAAGTAATCTAATTTAAAAATGGGCAAAAGAACCTGAGTAGATATTTTTCCAAAGCAAATACACAGATGTCAAACAGGTATGTGGAAAAGTACACAGCATCACTATTCATTAAGGAAATGTAAATCAAAATCACAATATCACCTCACACGTGTTAGAAAGGCTATTATCAAAAAATAAGAAAAAACAAGTGCTGACAAGAACATGGAGAAAAGGTAACGCTTGTGCCCTGTTGGTGGGATGGAAACTGGTGCAGCCACTCTGGAAAACAGTATGCAGATTCCTCGAAAAATGAAAAATAGAAATACCATATGATCTAGCAATCTCACTTTGGGGTATATATCCCAAGGAAATGAAATCACTATCTTGAAAAGATATGTATACCCCCATGTTCACTGCAACATTGTAAAAGCCTGGGCATGGAAACAATTTAAGTGTCTATTCATGAATTAATGGATAGAGAAATATAATACATACACACACACACACACACACACATACACACACATAGAGAGACACATACACAGTGGAATATTATTCAGCCTAAAAGGAGAAAATCCTGCCATTTACAACGGTATGGATGAATCTTGAGAGCATTATGCTAAGTGAGATAAGTCAGGCAGAGAAAGTATTTGTCTCATTTATATGTGGAATCCAAAAAAAGTGGAACTCAGAGAAACAGAGTAGTTTGATGGTTGCCATGGGCAGAAGGTGGTGGGGGAAATAAGTGAAGTTGTCAAAATATACAAATTTGCAGTTATTAGAACAATACTTTCTGGGCATGATAAGGAGCAGTATGGTGACTATAGTTAACAATACTGTATCATGGGCTTGTAAGTTGCTAAGAGAGTATATCTAAAATTTTTACTCCAAAAAAATAAATATGTGAGTGATAGATGTGTTAACTAACCTAATTATAATCATTTTGTACTATACATGTATATCAAATGATCACGTTTATACCTTAAACCTACTTACATTATATGTCAGTTTTATCTCAGTAAAAAAAAGAAGAAATTGGAACAATCTCTGGAAAATGCAAAAGGTGGTTTGTCTGAATACATTGTAGGGAGTAAGATGTATTTTCAGTATTTTGTAAGTGTTCACTATTAAAGTTATTTGTATTATTAAAGGTTCTTTGTGTTGCATGTAGACATATTCTGGCTATTAAAATAGGAAGCAGTACAAAAAAAAAAAAGATTTGTTGAAACACTGCTGTTGCTTTCAGAGTGCTTAGGAAAGGCTAGATGCTGGCCAGCTGTTGAGAACCCACTAGCAGAAATACAGAGATCCTTTATTCTAGGGCACTGCCATAATTATCATCATGCTCCATGATTTCAGTCTGTTCCTACTGGCCACATAAATAATTCTGGGAGAATCTTTCTGGCTCAGGTGGGTCAGGTTATACAGGAGTTTGATCCTCTCTGACCAAGTTGGCAAGTACGGTAACAATGGCCACCGGGCCCCGCCTCTGTGTAATGGATCCTTTTCCAGACTCTCCCATTCCTGACACTCTCCTATTCTATAAGAATGATGAAGACTCTCTGGAACAGTAATAAGTTTGTTTCTTTGAAACATGGTTGGTTTTTAATTTACCTAGCCCAGGAGAGTGGGCTCAGATGTATTTGAAAGACTTTCCAAAAAGAATGTATGAAGCTTTTAACTGTGAAACTTCATACATTTTTATGGGTGAAGGATTTGTTCTTTGGAGTCAGGTTCAAATTCCCTTTCTTTCTTTTCCTAGTTCTTTGACTTTGGACATGTTACTTTATCTGGGCTGTAGCTTCCTTATTTTGAACCATTCTTTGGATGGCTAATAATAACTTCTGTATATTTTATATTTGTTGGCCTTAAATATGCCCAGGAAAGTTACTACTACTACCAATAAAAATCTCCTCAGTTACCTAGGATATGTGACCCCTAAGGAGACATATTTATTCTGACTTCTAGAGGCAAGAATGCAAAGTCAGGATGTTTAAAGTAAGTTGTGTTTGGTTGAGCCAGGTCCTGAATTCTGAGAACTTGCTTGGAGCTGCTTTTGGGGCCTCTGTTCTGGAGGACTTATGAAGCAGAACTGGAAAAGCAGGATTGGCTGCCCTTGGGTTATTCTGGAGCCTTGCGGGTGTGTCCTTAGAAACACAAGCCAGATAGAGGGAAACAATTACCAACTAGAGAAGGTTTAAGGATTTAAGAAAAATACAAAGAATTTTTAATCTTTAACATTTTAATGCCTTTGCACTTTAAAATGTGAGATGATTTATAATGAAATCAACTATAATAATATTGGATGATATGAGCAACAACAACAAAAATGAACATGCAAGGTGTATGTGGCAAGAATCAGTGACAAGGATGAGGGAAGGAGGCGCATAGGTTAAACTCAGGGATAAAATGAGTCATCAGTTTTACTCTGAGTTTCTGTAGACAGGAAAAAAGAAGAACAGACCATGCTTCATAAATCTTAAAATGAGAAAAGAAGAAGGAGTTTTTAGGGAAGGCAAGTTTTTTCTTTCTCTAAATTCAGCAAGAAACTTCTCCCATAAGGTATCATGGAGTGGATAGTGAGTAATGTCATGCCCAACTGCAGTTTTGCTCATCAGCAACATGAGGATTTCCTGTTAAATATGTTTATCCCCACCCCCCACAACACCCCAGAATGTGTTTATTCCCAGGTTCCTCTCTTGGAATTTCTGACTCAGCAACTCTATAAGCATGTCATCTAGTGGGTCCATAGTATATTTTTTCTTAATTGAAAATATGTAATGAGAAATTAAGAATTCGTGAAGTGCTTTCCCAATTTTTACTTCTTTGATCAAAATTTTTTTAATACAAGAAAAGAAATTCATACTTTAAGAGGTCTAGTGACTTAAGACACTAGGGGATTTGAATCCCTGTGATGTGTTTCAAGTGATGCTGGACAATAGGAAAAAAGATTTTAAGTCTGTTAATATAAGGTAATTGTACTACTGTGATTGAGCAGAGGTTGGGAGGGTCTCAGATTAATTAAGTGTCCAGCTGTTGGATCAGTTGCTTTTGAGACCTTACCCCTCTCTAAGTCATCTGAGAATGTGTGCTGAAGTTCACCTTCTTTGTAAAACCCTTTTAGTTCCCACCCTTTCCTGCAGACATGTCTCTTAACTCCTTTCTCCAAGGCATGTCCAAGGCACTTCCATACATAACTCTATCATTTCCCTACACAGTCCTGGGGTACACTGCTAAGTGACAGCCTAGACTATCACCTTCTCAGTGGCTGGACATCATTATTTATCTTGAGAATACTGGCAGAATCTGACCCATAGTAGGTATAGAGTAAATAAGCACTAAATGGATATGTTAGAAAGGGGCATATGTTATAGGAGAAAGATGGGATATCTAGATATCTGTTTATCTGTCTGTCTTAATTTAGGAAATACTGAGAACTTTGGCCACATTTTATGTACTGAAGAAATAGGCACTGCGGTGAGTCATTTAATTCTAAGGTGGTGACTTGCTTTTGATTTGATGCAGCAATCATCATACATGTGCAGCCTTTAAAGCTACTTATTAAATGCACAGTCACCAGGGTTTAAAGAGATAACTCCTGATCAAACCATTCAAAATTTAATCTTTGCCTTAGAGGCTTCCTTCTCTCTAACCCAGTTTTTTTTAATATCCCTAAATTAAGCCATTCCTTCCTGTCAATAAGAGCATCTACAATTGGTTCATGAATCTATTCAAAACTTTTTTTAGATGTAGTTAAAAAAAAAAAGAATTCTGGCATTAAGATCTTGAACAAAGAAGTTCCCAAGAGTTTTAACATTAATAAGGAGTAAAGTGAACCTCCACAAGGTCACATAACCAAAAGCAGACAAGTTAGAATTTGAACTTCTTTCTTCTCTATGTCTTTTGGTCTTTCTACCCCTTCATGACACTTCTCTGTTGGACCACCTCGCACACTGATTTGTTAGTGTAGCACTCTAAAGACTCAGGGTGTGGGTACCAATGGGTGGAGGCATGTACCAGTAGCCTGAATGAACCAGCTAAGGGTTGGGACACTGGCAACAAGAGGTAAGCTGTTCTCTGAAAAGATGGAAATGGAAAATGGAAACATAAGTGAATACTTCTAGAAGCTTAGCTGGCTTTGGGGTGAGAATCAGATGTGTATGGGTTGGGCATTTCTTGATTTCAAAGCCCAAAACTGATTTCTGTCCTTAGAAGCTTATGGAAAAGAGTGGGCTAAGTTCCTGGGTAATATGATAGTAACTTGCTAAGCTTACATTAATAACACCCAGGGTATAAAGTGAAGACCACAGGGAAAAGAAGCCTTCCTAGGTCAGATATGAAATAGAAGTTAGGAAAGGCCATGCTTCCTGAGATGCATATAAGGTAACTGAATTAACCAAAGGGGTAGTGTTTTGTTTCCTTGGGCATCTGGAAGGCATGTGTAAGATCACATAGCTTACTCACTTTTTTCAACTGCCTCCTTCTACACTGTTCTTTGTTCTCCACTAGCACTGCTGCTAAGGGATAGAATGCACACCCTGGGATCAGGCTGCCTAAGTTCAAATCCTTTCCTCTTCTCTGACTAACTTGGACACGTTAGTAACTTGGTCACATTCCTAATTTATATGATTAAAAAAAAAAGAATATCCTTTTTTCATAGTGGTGTTAGAATGAAATCAGATACTATGTATATAGCATTTAGCTTAATGCTTAAAACAGAGTATGTACTCAGTTTATGCTAGCTGCTGATAAAATAATTACATTCACAGCTATATCATTTCTGTTTTTATATTTCAATATCCATTCTCAGGAGAGACTAGAATAAGGAAATAGTGGCTGTTTCTGAGCACTCAAACTATATTGTTTGTAATTGTGCTTTATTTGTGGTTTTGCTTTCCACAGTTCCAGTTACCCATAGTCAACTGAGGTCTGGAAGCAGATGATCCTTTTCCTGACATAATGTTAGAGCATCAGTAATAGCCTGATGCTGTGTCACAGTGACTATGTCATTCAAGTCGCTTCATCTCATCATGGAGACATTTTATAGTCTCACATCATCATAAGAAGAGGAAAGGTGAGTACAGTACAATAAGATATTCTGAGAGAGACCACATTTTACATAGCTTTTATTACAGCATATTATTAAAATTCTTTTATTTTATTATTAGTTATCATTGTTAATCTCTAATTGTTCCTAATTAGTAAACTAAACTTTATTATAGGTATGTATATATAGGAAAAAGCATGATATATATGGGATTCGTACTGTTCACGGTGTCAGGCATCCACTGGCCTCTTGGAATATATCCCTCACAGATAAGGGGGGACTACTATAAATCCAACTATGTGGGTTTAGAGAGTTTGTTAGTATTTTCTCCTGGAATTAGGTTCAACAAATCTCAGTCTTCTCATGAGTAACTGCACAATTACATGGGCCCTTCTACTCTAGTGCACACAGTCCCCTCATGTCATATGTGCCAGGCACACAAAGCAAGGGAGCAGAGTTGTGGTAGGGCCAGGCACTCTAACTCCCAGTGCTTAAGTGTTTCACCCCCCAGTTGTGCCTCCTCTCTTCAGATAATCTGATTAGGTCAGGGACTTTACGATGATTTAAAAAAAAAATGTATTTAAAATTAAGTTTAAGTAACTACAGTAGAAACAACAACAAAAAAATACACCTTTTCTGCTTATAGGTAGGCAGAGGGGTGCCCAAATTAATTAAATAAAATAAGACCCCCTTTTTTGTTCAGTATGCTATTATTTTAGTTGTAAATTATAAGTTAAAATCACCTGGGAAAGTCACTTTGCTGAATGTTCTCCTCGTTTATCATCAAATTCCATAAATCCTCTTGAAAAGAAAAAAAGAGAAAAAAATGAATTATGACTGAGTTTGAATAAGAATGTTAGAATCATCATTAGGATGTCTTAAGTTGTTTGAGCCACAATTTTCTTCTGCAGATTTTCCTATGTCATAAATAAATAAGATTTAAGACTTCCACAACAATTTGTAGTTGCAAGCTATTTATGCACAATTATCTCTTTTGAATATGCCAACAAATCTATTCATTAGGTGTCCATTCATACACAAACTGTATAAGACAGATATTTTGGTATATTCTTTTTAATAATATATCCCCAGTACCTGGCAAATAGTATAAATTAATATAAGTTTGAATTAAATCAATAATAAATGAATGAATAATTTTTTTTCTTTTTATGTATGAAGAAACTTTTAAAGCTCAAAGAGATTAAACAACCTGTCTAAATCACATAGCAAAGTCTAAAACTGAGAGCTCTAGAGTCAGGAGTTAATACTAGAAGCACTAAACTGTTCAAGGAAAGGGGTACACAGTAGCTACAGGAAAGGTAAAATGATTAAAAATGTGGCCTGTGAGAAGTTTATAGTCTAGTGCAGAAAATAAACACAATCAGATACAAGTAATTTAAGATAGTGAACAAGTAAATTAAAACAATGAGGGGGAAAGAAAATCGATGTGAAGGTTATTCCAAAGTATTATGAAATCCAGAGTATGAATACCTGCGTTTTGTAATCATAGGGGTCTGTGATGTCTTCACAGAGTTTATCTTTGAATTGGACTTTAGAAAATGATTAAACTTGCTAGGTGGACAAATCTACCTAGCAAGGCCTTGGGGGCAGAGAGAAGAGCCATGTGCAAAGATGTTGGGCATTATACAAACATGACCAGTTCTGAAACAAATCATTTGTTATTGGGGGCATCAGGTGTTTGACGTTAGGAGTGAGATACACGATTGAAAGATACATACGCGTCAGGAAAGAACATTTAACATCAGCCAAATGCATTTGTTCTGATTTTGTAGGCTATGGAAATTCACAAAAGGGTTTCAAGCATGACAGTAACACAACCCAACTTGTGTTTTTGTTATATAACTCTGAGAGTAAGGGGATAGTTTGAAGGGAGGCAGACAGAAACAGTGAACTAATCATAAATCTAATAAAAAGAGCTCAGGAAAGAAGTAACGAAGGACTCTACTAGGCCAACTAGCCAGTGGAGTTGAGGAAAAGCAATGATACAGGAAAAAAATTAGAGGTAGAATATTCTTCAATTCGAGGATGGTGGTAACGAGCAGGAAAGATCCGAGAAGACCCTGAGGGTTTTGGATTCTGGGTGGGTGGGGATGTGATTCCTGAAATAAGGAACATGGGAGGAGGAACAGGTTTGTGGGATGTTGGGTTTGGGTTTAGACCAGTTAAATTTCAGTTATTGGTGGAAAACCTAGGTGAAATTTTCTAGCAAGCAATTAATCATTTCAGTCTGAAGCTCAATAAAAAGAACACAATATACATCTGATTCTGGAAGTCACTGGATCATAAGTCAAATAAAAAGAAGAAGAAAGAATGGCTAGATGTAGGGAAAGAGCCAGGAAAATGTCATGTCCTGGAAATTCAGCAGGTGAGGGGAAATTCACAAGGATTGGAGCCTTCTTGAGGGGTCAAAGAGATTAAGAATATGTATATTTTTCCAAACAATGGTGACCAGAATCCAGTTCACACAGCTCTAAAGTAATTCAGAATGGAGGAAGTGAGCTCTTCTATTCAGTGTCCTGAAAGTACATATCTAGCATTTATTATGTGCCTGACATAGTACTTAGTCATCAGATATATTGGAGTAAATAAACAAAATTCTCATCTTTATGAAGTTCCCTCATTCCTGTCATTCTCTCTAATCAAAGTTCATTTCATCTTTTAAGGCCCAGATTGCATCTCACCCTTGCTATAAATACTCCCCTAAGCATCCTGGTGTCAGTCACAGCTCCATTCTCCAGAAATCACCTGTGTTGTTTTACTGACATTTATCTTAGCATATTAGTCATCACGGCATTTGGTATGTCATCTTACCATAAGGACTGCAAATCTTTGAGAAGGTTTTACATTTTAGATTTTTCCTTCACAATTTCTGTCCCAACTTTGGTATATACTAATGTACTTAGAAACACTTCTTGATGGTCTTCTCCCATTCCCCATCCCCATTATATTTATGGTCTTCCCTTGGACAGAGAAAGGACAGCTAGATTTTTCCCTTGAGCAAGGACTGCTGTGTCTTGCAACAAATATCCCTCAGGTTTTATCAGTCATATTGCAGTAATGGGTTTTAGATTTGATCTTTAAGATATCTTTCTTTAATTAATCAATTCAACAATTATTTGCTGAGTGTCTCATTCAGTCTATAAGGTACATGTTAGAGCGATGAGCTAGATAGCTCTGGTCTCTGATATAGCTACGTGACTACAAATAAATAAAAATATTATAATGACACTATGACAAGGTAAAGTAAGAGAGAAGAACAAGGGAATGAAAGAAGGTAGTGTAAGAGTGGTTATAGAACTGTTTTCTGAGGAGGTGACTTTTAAATGAGCTGCAAGATAAAGCACTAGCCGCGAAAGAAGGAAGGAGCATTTTAGGAAATGAAAGCAAGAGAGCCTTTGATGGTTATAAGTTCCAGAAACAGAAAGAACATCGTTTACTTGGGAAAAAATGAGGAAAAGTGGAAATGGTTGAAGTCAAGGTGCCATTCCTGAACCCAGAGCTGACAGCAATTGTCTTGTATTTCAGATAATGAGTTTTCAGGGTTAACAGAGGTGAGGGAAAGGGGCTATTTTATGTCTGGAGAATTCCCCAAGGAAGGAATAAAAATAAATATTATTGCTTCAACTCCTTGCATTGCTATTGTCGTGCTTTGTAACAGTATGTATTCAACTGGAGTGTAATGTGTACTTTGTACATAATGGGTGTTACTCTTGCTTCCTTGTCAGTTTCCTCCTTGTTTACATTATCACTGAAACTCAACAGTTTCAAAAGCCAACCACAATAGGAAAAATAACAATACAAAAATAAACATTTGTGAGTTTCAATAATTTGTGCATGTGGATGGTATGCAGAATCCTGCCCATCATGTGATAATATATTGATTTAAGCAAATCAGAGATTACAACATGGCCCCTGATTACTTCTCTGTAGAAGTGTTTCTTAATCTGTTATTGGTCATAGACCCCATTGAGAATCAAAAAAAAGTCAGAAACATCCCCCCCCCCAAATGCTAAGATGCACATTTACATGAAATGAATAAAAAGTTAAAGGATATGTGGACCTTTAAGTCAAGGCCATATAGTGTAGAGCATCTAATCAAGGGCTATCAAAATTGTTGGTATATCAGAATCACCAGCAATCTTGTTAAGAAGCACACCCTTAGCTTTGTCCTAGGAAGACGCAAGATGGGATGAAGGAAACTTCATTTTGTATAAATTATCCAGGAATTCTAGACCACGCTCCGTCAAACTGGGCTTTGGGGTCTATGAAGGAGAGAATTAGAGACAGGGGCTCAGTGAAGTGGGATTGAAAGCACCCGGAAATTCAGAACAAATTGGATCCTGGAGAGCTGAAAGTAGGAATTACTGTAGGTTGAGTAAGAACAGGGTGAAGTAAAGTTGAAAATCTGAGCTAGGTAGATCGGAGTAAGATGTGTTATGTGTTGGATACAGTGGCTTGGAAGCATGTAAAGAACTCTGGGAAGGTTCTTGGTATATGCTCAGCCACCATGGCAGTTCCTCATGACAAACACTCATATGAGAGGTTTTCTAGATTGTCTCTGAAGAAATAATCAGCTACTCTCTTTGCTAACCCTCTTGAGTTTCTCAAACTAGGAAATAAAGGCAGGACTCATCACACCTCTCATTAGTGAACATATCACTACCCACCACCTTCACCAAAGAATTACAGTGCCTGTATTGGATGGGTCCTTTATTCTTTTAACTATCCAGATGAGGAAACTGAGGCATTCAGAGAGGAGGGCCTTGTTCAAGGTCACCCAGTCAAGTAGCACATGTGGGAAGACCAGAACCTGGCCTTCTGTTCTCTGGTCTGGTGCTCTTCCTCCTTTCTCCTTAGTCCTGAGATAAAAAAATACTTTATGGAACCACTTGTTGGCAATGTGCACACTCCAAAAGAGTTTAGGAAAATTCTGTCAGATGCAAATATAGCTTAAGGTAGGACAGTACTTTTCAACTCAAATAATATATTGTCATGCACAGTTGTGTTTCTCATTCATTTTAATACAATGTGGTTATTACCAACAGCAAACTGGACAAAAACAAGGTTTATCTCAGGGCTTACGTGCTCCTGGTCATGGAGCGGAGGATGAATTCCACTGCATTCTCAATGATCTCTGTGCCCAAGAGGTTTAGGAATTTGGGGAATTCTGTCTCTGGGTTTTTGTCCGAGCCATCTGGCTTGTCATCTGGTTTGTCATCTGAAAAACAGAACAGAATCTCAGGTGATTCTCAGCAATAAGAAAGGGAAGACTCTTTTCTTTGAAGGGAGCTCCTGGACCACTTTGTATCTCCTCTCACTAATTATACAGCCTGGTACAGTTATATTTATAGAACATTTAGTGCCTTCCTGGACAAAGCCTTCACATGCATCATCTCACTTATTCCTAAAAGCAACATATATCAATACTTAGGTAGACATGGATTTCCTTTCTGGATAGAGAAAATTGAAGCTCACAGAAGTTAAGTAACTTGTCCAGAGTAAAGCAGCTAGTAAATGCCAGTACCAGGATTGAAATATAGAATGTCCTCCCCCTTTTTAAAAAGATTTATTTATTGATTTTAGAGAGAGACAGGGTGTGCAAGTGAGTTGAGGGAGGGGGCGGAAGGAGAGAGAGTCTTTAGCAGACTCTGTACTGAGGAGCCAGATTCCATGAGCCTGAGATCATGACTTGAGCCAAAAATTAAGAATCAGACATTTAATGGACTGAGCCAGCCAGGTACCCCCAGAATGCCCATTTTAATGTCATTTTCTCCATGCAATCCCTGGCCTGTGGTAATGATAATAATGATGACATAATAGTGGGTAGCCTTTGTTAAGGATAGACCTATGACAGATGATCCACATGCATTATCACATCATTTTATTCTCACAGCAGCACTATGAAGTAGGCAAAACTATTATCTCAAGCTAAAGGTCAAGAAGGTAAAGTTGAGAGAACTTTAGGAGCTAATTCAAAGCACAGAGTTAGTGAGTGGCCAAAATAGAGTTCAGTCCCATGTCCTCCTGGCATTAAAATCTGGATCCAAAAGCACTCTCTGCTGAACTGCTTAGCCTTGTTCCCACCTTCCACCCCCATGGAAATCCTTTATTTCTTTATATTCTCTAAATTTTTCTACAACAAACATAGATTACTTATAAAATACAAATATCATCATCAGCAACAAAAATGAGCTGTAGTGGCCTTTGACAGAAAAAGTTATGCTCTAACCACAAGTGTGTCATAAGATTGAAAGTAGTATAATAAGGATGAGGACAAGGGGAAATTCTATTACTTGTACCTCATTTGATATTTCTGTAAATAATGACTTTACAAATACCAGGTGATTTTACCCTTGTCCCTTTTTATGGGGTATATAGTTCTTACCGCACTGAACTAAGAAACTGAAAAGATCAAGTGACTTGCAGGAGAGCTCACAAATAGCAAGAGGATGGAATTCTAAATTTAGTCTTCTTACTCTTAACTTTTAGTCAAATACCCTTTGGAATGAGGACTAAGGATCCAGGGAGTGAGGCTGGGACGTGCAAGATCCCTTGTGGGGGGTGGTGGGGGTTGGCTTTCCTTTGTAGCCTAAATTGTTCAAGAGAGTAAAAGTAAGGGAGGGGGGGCGCCTGGCTCAGTGGGTTAAAGCCTTTGCCTTCGGCTCAGGTCATGATCCTGGGGTCTTGGGATCAAGCCCCACATCCAGCTCTTTGCTTGGTGGGAAGCCTGCTTCCCCCCACCTCTCTGCCTGCCTCTCTGCTTGCTTGTGATCTCTGTCTGTCAAATAAATAAATAAAATCTTTAAAAAAAAGAAAAAGTAAGGGAGGAGTGTCAGCAGTTTCATGTGGCCTCCTCCCTGGACTCTGGTGCCTGGATAAAGTGGGACCTTTATCTTCGGTTTTACTGTAGCCTCACAAGTAGTGTCACAGATTTAGTAAATAAAAATATAGGATACCCAAGTAAAATTAAATGTTGGATAAACAGCAAATAATTTTTTTGGTGTAAAAATGACCATGCAATATTTAGGTCATATTTAAACTAAGAAATTACTCGTTGTTCATCTGAAATTAAAATTTAACTAGGTATCCTGTATTTCATTTGGTAACCCCACCGTAAGTTTTGAGTCAAAAAGTCCCAACATCTAGACCCTGTTTCCCATGACTCTGAATGAGGGAGGTGTAACTAGCTTTTTGTGTGATGACTGTCAAAAATTGCATTAGAAGCCTTGCATCTATATTATATCCTAAAATAGAAACCCTTAGTCAAAAAAAAAAGTGGCTTTCAATTCTGCAAGCATTTGTGGTTTACTATGCCACAACATAAGATTTGGTAGGAGCACCAGTCTAGGACCTTAACCAAAATCAGTGTACTAATCACCAAGTATTTGTTCCTTTAGCTGTTAGTGTTTGCATTCAGCAAGTGTTTTTTGAGCCTACCATTATGTACATAGCATATGCTAAGAGTTAGGGTATGAACAAACATATATAGACATGATCCTTTCGTGGAGTGCAGGTCACCACAGTGACCAGAATTGCTGTGTTTTCATCAAGGGAAGAAGGAAGGAGAATGGAAATTTGTGATGTGCCTGTTGAGCAGGTACTGGGACACTTTTTACATGACATGCTTTTATCTTTATTTAGTTCAGTGAAGATACTGTGGTTTTATAGGAGAGAAAACATGTGTTCGGAGAAATTAAATGACTCACGTAAAATCACACCTCTAGAATCTGGCTGAGCCAAGGTTTGAGCCTAAATTGCATTATCTACATGATATGATACTATCTTCAAGCAGTTTTCCCCTGAAGACATTTACCAGGTACAAAACAGCAATTTCTTGCATGAAAAGTGGGTCCTTTTTCCTATGTTGCTCTACGCATACTTGCGTTGGCACATTAATTTTACTGACCTTTAATTTTAATATGATACTAAATGCTAGCTTTTCATTATACAAAGAGCCCTTGTTTGGAGTATGTGTGAGGATTGGATCTTTGGCTCCAGCCCTTGGACTGCAGCTATATTAAGAGGTTTTAGAATATGGAGGACCATGTGTTTTGGAATCCTATATACCTGAGTTTGGTTCCTGTCTTCAGCAAAAAATCTGCCACATAACCTTGCACACAATGCTTAACCACTCTGTCTTAGTTACTCCATTGTATTATTGTCAGGATTGAGAGATATTTTATATATATTTCATATATATCATATATGTGTTTCAATATAAATGCATATATATGTATATACCCATATCTATATATCCATATCATACACACACATACACACACACATACGTGTGTTCATCTGAAACGTGTGTGTGTGTGTGTGTGTGTGTGTGTATACCACTTATCACAGTACCAGGTCAAAGTAAACCCACAATAAATGCTTGCTGCATTACTCTGGATATGTATCCATAATAATGAAGATACACACACACACACATGCACACACACACACAATATATTCATAGTAATAGTAGCAAAACAATTTATAGTAGCTTTTTTCTCTAATGCTTTAAGAGATTGTAAAACTTTAAAAATGTGATTAAAATATTAAGGCATTTGAAAATGTTGAAAAACAGAAAAAGAAATATAAATAATAAAAATTAAGAAGTCTGACATACTAGAAACAAATTATCAAAGCCAATAGTTGAATACTTCTTCTTTTCAAATATACTGTGGACTAGCCTGTATTTACATTAAGTACTTGGTTGAGTTTTTCAGTTAATGTTATCATAAAGTTCAGAAAAAAATACATTACTGCTGATATTTGTATAGTGTTTATAGTTTACAAAGTGATTACAAAGGCATATTCATTTGACCTGGTGAAGTTGATTGTTACCACATTTTATAGATGAAGAAACTTGAGGTTCGAAGCAGTGAACTGATTTAACCAGTTTCAGAGTTCATGAGAGACAGAGCTTTGGCCTGGTTCTTAGCATATAAATCTCATCTTTCACTTTACTGTGGTGGTGACTCTCGAGGAGCTGATGGACACAGTAGTGTCTGAGGCCATCTCTGTAGCAGTTCTGTTAGGATATCTGCCTATATGTTCTGCTGGTGGACAGTGGGTGGCTGATGGTGTTGAGTTCTGCCAAGTTAGAGTTAGAACATTTCAAAAGGCTCTGGTACTAAATTATTTCCACTGGCTGTGTTTTCTGACCTATCCTTCTGAATAAAGACAAGTCAAGAGCTCTCCATCTTCTGCAGGCCAAAAATAAATTAATTAGGGAGACTCTTAAAGGTTCCTTGTGGTCCCGTATTTGCTTGGGACAGACACGAAAGAAGTAGGTGCTTAATCATAATGGTCAGACTCAAGGGATCTGGGGTCTCGGTCCCAGGTATGCCTCTTCTACCTGTGTCTTTGCCCAAGTGACTTTCCTTCTGCAAGCTTTGTTTGTTAACCTGCTGAGAGGGAAATGGATAAAAGTTTGAATGTTTACTTAAAAGGATTATTATAAGAATCAAGTGAGATAATACATGATAACAATAACAGTTAATATTTATTGGTGCTTATTAAGGATCAGACTTTTGTCTCTTATTCAGTTTATTCCATTTTTGTGTTAACTTTATGAGAAAGTTAGCTGTTGATATTCCCTTTAACATGTGAGACCCAGAGAGGTGAAATAACATGCCTGAAGTCCCATTCCTGATCAGTGGGCAGCCAGGCCTAGGAGTCTTATTCCAGGGTATATATCCTTTACCTTTGAATATTATTAGTTAGAATGATTATAAAAAAAAAATCCCCCATCAAGAAATCTGTAATATAATAGTTTCACTGTCTTGCATCAATATATAAAAAAAAAGATCATCCCAAACTTCATACATTCACTGAGGATAGAGGGTGCAACTGAAGCACATTAGACTAAAAGTCCTTTTATTTTTGTTGGATCTGCCTCTTGGCCCTTAGTCCAGTGCTCTTTCTGCACTGCCCAAAGCCCCCTTCCTTTCTTTCCCCTTTATGTTCTGGATCAGCGCCACCACCTCCCTCCACTCCTGGCTGACTACCACACATTGCATGAGCTGCATTGAGGAGCACTTACCGGCCTGGCAAGTCAGGATGAGGGCAAGTAGTCCCAGGACAATTGTCAGCTGCAGCGCAGAGACAGCCATGCCTGCAGCACTGGGCATCAATGCGGATCACCTGTTTGGATGCACCCAGAGTCTTGCCCCATTTATAAGGCATTTATAGGTGACATCATCTGCAATGGAATTAGGTTGTTGCACAAGATATCTGCAGTTTGCGCTTGGATTTCTACTAATAAAGCCTGCCCTATTTTTTAAACCAAAAGTTTTTCATATAGTGAAAGAAAAACCCTGTCATGACGTATTTCTAATGTGTATTTTATAAACAGCACTGGAGTATCTCTTTTACAGGTAGTTCCAATGCTTGCATTGATGATTCGTTGGATATAAGGCAGAATTACCATGCAGGGCCAAGGAGCAGGTGATAAATCAGATTGGTGAGGTGTGCCTCCTCCCCTCCCTGTGTACTCTGCTTGTTTTTCCATGCTCTGAAGTCATTACTTGTCCCCACATGGCCATGCCCAGTCACACCCTCATGCCCTTAGCTCATGCTCTTTATTTTTCCCAGGATACTCTCCACATCATCTCCCCTTAGAACCTTCCTCTTATTCCTCAGGTTCAGGTTCAAATGCCCCCTTCCCTGTGAAACCTTCATGATGATGATTCCACCCCACTCCAAACAATTGCTCTGTTGTCTGCCTTCTGGAACCCTGCCATATTGTTTGAGAACAAAGTTCTTGAAGAGGTCTTTTCTCCTTTAGCTCATGGATCTGTTAAGGGCAGAGTGTTTTGTTTACTACTGAATCTTCAAGGAGCTTAGTATGGCTCTCCTAACTGTTCTCAGCTTTGACTTCCTATTCTTGGGAATCTTGTCCTGGTTCTTCCTGGAAGAGGTAGATGCTCTGCTATGTGCCTGATAAGTGTGTGTTTAAATATCTCCACTAACACACTGTAGGTACCTTAAGGACAAGACTGTCTTTTTCAGAGTTGAATACATGTTACTCAAGGCATGTAGCAAACATTAAAAAAAGAAAAGAAAAATAAATTTTTATAGTCATTAAAAAGGAATATTGGGGTTGAGATGCTGCTATGTATCTCATGGGTAAAATATATTTCTTCTTGAATACAGACACTTAAGGGGATAAATTTTAGTTCAAGTCTATATGGTATTGGTTATCCTGATAACTGCTATAAATTTAGTTAATTGGGATAAGGCTTTAGTTCCTAAACTTATAGATTGGCCAAACATACACACTGTGAGTATCAGAGGGCCCTGTTGTATTAATTGAGGTATGGAAACAGGAGACTTGTCTGGTGTCACGGAGCCAGGACATGGCTCTCTAACTCAGGTTAGTACTTCTAGATACGAAGCTGCACTTGAAAGCCATCAAGCACCTCTGCTTGGACCCTTCCAGGTCTTCTCTCCAACTCCAACCTATTTTCTTCTTCTTCTTCTCCTCCTCCTCCTTCCCCTCCCACACCCCTCTCCCTCCTCTTCCTATTCTTTCTTCGTCGTCATAGTCGTCTTCATCGTTGTCTTCCTTTTCTTCGTCTCCTTCTTTGTCTCCTTCTCCTCCTCCTCCTCCTTGTTTTAAGAGAAAGTTGGGAAAAGGTTGAGAGAAGCAGAGGGAAAAAGAGAATCTTAAGTAGTCTCCATGTCCAGCACAGAGCCTGGTGTGGGGCTCAGTCTCAGAACCCTGAGATCATGACCTGAGCCAAAATCAAGAATCAGATACTTAACCAACTAAGCTGCCCAGGTGCCCCCACACCAATCTATCTTTTTAAGAAGACCCTGGTCCTGTTACTCCTATACAAAGGGTTGTGATCTGGAGATAGTTGTCCATAGTAGGAAGCTTTCAATGAATTAGATTGATACCATCAGGGTCACTGTTTGGGAGAGCACTGTGCTTGTCCGTTGATCTTAGTGGAAAATAACAGTCAAGTTTCCTCTTTTAGCCATGCCATGGTCCCTGATTTGCATGGGAAAGGCCAACAGTACCTTCTACTTTGCTTGAGCTTTGAGCCTTCAGGGGACTCTAATTCACCATAAGAAGGCTGTTCAGGCTAGCAAAGACTCTAATATTGCAGCTTGGGGGAGAGGCCCCTTGGCTTCTCAAAGATACCAGTTAAATGGGGCATGCAGACAAATTCCTGAATCTGCTTTCATTGGTCTGGTATCATGGAAGTAACACCACATTGAGGGGTCAGGATAGCTGGATTCTCTTCCTGTCAGTAGCACTGACTCATTGTACGACCCTGATTAAATACTCTCTAGCCCTGATGCTCAGTTTTCTGTGTTTACTTTATTTTTATCTGTTCTTTTCTGTTGGTTTATTCCTTTTAGCTTCAGATTTCAGTTAAAAATTCCTCTTTTCGGGGCACCTGGGTGGCTCAGTGGGTTAAAGCCTCTGCCTTCAGCTCAGGTCATGATCCCAGGGTCCTGGGATCAAGCCCCGCATCGGGCTCTCTGCTTGGCGGGGAGCCTGCTTCCCACTCTCTCTCTGCCTGCTGCTCTGCCTAGTTGTGATCTCTGTCTGTCAAATAAATAAATAAAATCTAAAAAAAAAATGCCTCTTTTCGGAGGAAAACTATGATTCTCTAATGTAACTCAGATCCCTTTATTATTATCTTTTGTATACTCTGTAGTCTTCCTTCTTAGCATTTAAATACTAATTTTTGTTTCATTATTCAACATCTTTCTTCCAGAGATGTTAAAATCCAGGATGGAAGGATTCTGGTCTTTGTTGTTTGCTGAGATAACTCTGGTTTCCAAAATAGTGCATGTAGAAGATACAGAAAAAATACATACCAAATAAATGAATAATTTTGAGGAAAGAAGTGTGGACTTGTGTGATAGTTCTATCAGTTAATACCTGTGATGCTGCCAGATGACTGATGCCACACTTGGGTTCCTCATCTGTAAAACTGGGCTATATTATAATTTCCTGCCTATTTGTCTACAGTATTTAAGGATATAAGAGAGAACAGATAGAATAACTGATAAGCTGTAAAGAATATTTATTTGTTTTTCCAGTTTTATTGAGAGATACTTGACATACATCACTATATCAGTTCAAGGCATAAAGCATGATGTTTTGATTTACATATATTGTAAAACGATTACTGTAATAGGTTTAGTTGACCTAAATCTTCTCAAATAGATACAATGTAAAGAATGGAAAAAGGATAAACATTTTCTCCGTGTGATACTCTTAGGATTTTTCTCTTAACAACTTTCCTATGAATCATATAAAGGGTGGTTAGAGTCTTATACTCTAGTAGCTCATAAATAGGAGTTTGTACCTTTTGACCGCCTTCTTCCAATTTCCCCTTTCCTCACCCTCTGCCTCTGGTAACTGTTAAGTCTGACCTCATTTCCTATGAGTTTGGTTTTTCATTGTTCTTTTTTAAAATTCCACATGTAAGTGAGATCAAGTGAGATTATCTTCCTGACTTATTTGACTTAGCATAATGCCTTCAATGTTCATCCATGTTGTTACAACTGGTCGGGTTTCCTTGTTCTTTTTTATGGCTTAATAATATTCCACCGTGTGTGTGTGTGTGTGTGTGTGTGTGTGTAAAACAATCTCTTTATTCATTCATCCACTGATGGCCAGTTAGGTTGTTTCTGTGTCTTGGCTGTTGTAAACAAGGAGCCTTTAATAAGCTGTGACTTATCCCCCATTGGCATAAGCAAAGGAATTTGCCTTTAGGTGGAGGAGAAACTGAGATTATGAAAGATGGCTTTATCCAAGCTGAGAAGAGGAAGATAGGGACCTTCTCTTGAAATACCATTCTAGTGTGGTAAGAAGATATGAGAATGAAAGGAATGTGGGACTCTTTAATTCCTATGGACATTTGCATGCATAAGTGATAGTCACTAGAGTTCTTGATACAGGAAAGAATTATAGTCTGGGTTGAGATTTCACAGAAGGATTTTGATGTATGTGTTACTGGTTAAGCATGGGCTTTGGGATCAGACAGACGTGGGTTTAGTTTCAGATTTGCCACTTACAAGTTGTTTGACCTTGTCACCTTAGTAATATTTCCTAATCTTGTTATGCTTTGGATCCAATATCTACAAAATAGGAATAATGGTATCTCTCAGGGTTGTTACAAGTATTGGATGAGAAAATGAATACATACAGTTAGCACAATGCCTTGAGGATGCTAAGTGAAAAATAAGTGGTAGACTAATCGTTCTATTCCATTCTACCCTACCCTATCCTATTATTCTACCCTGTCCTGTCCTGTTCTGTCCTATGCTCTTCTCTCTTGTCTTGTCCTATCCTGTTCTACCTTGGGTTGTCTCAGAGGATGGGGTGACAGTTAGCAATGTAAGCAGCATTTAGGGCTAATAATAGTAATAGGCTGATGTGGGTAACTCTGTCCAGGTATCACACTAGATACAGTGTGTCAGTGAAGCTGGTGGGAGGCTGCTATTATTATCCTACTTTATGTAAGGAATTCAAACTTGGAGAAATTAAGTGATTTGTCCAGGCTTGCAAATCATGTATGAGACATAGGAAGGAATCAAACTCAAGGCTGTGTGATTTCAAAGTTTGCACTTTTAACTATTATATTAAATTGTACTGGTATGTGCTCTGGGTCACAGACTGGCAAAAAGCCTGGGTAAATGAAACTTGCACTCATTAGCCTGCTTGCTCACAGATCCTTCTGTGTCTGCTTTGTTTTTCCCGTTAGTCTGTAGGTTTCCCACTGACTCCTGGATGAAGATCTGACCCACCTTATTCACCTTTCTCGTAGCTCAGTTTGATGTATCAGAGGTGCTGGATATGGAGTGTCTTAATCCTTGCAGAAAGTTAACCAGAGATAGGGTTATAGAGTAAAACACAAGATGTTCAATTAAATTTGAATTTCAGATAAACACTGAATATTTTTTTTCATATAAGTATGTCCCAAGTATTTCACGGGACAAACTTAAACTAAAAAATATTTGTTGTTCTGCTGAAATTTAAATTTAACTGAGTGTCCTATACTTGTATCCACCCAATCTTGGCAATCTTACAGGGGTAGGCACTCATGAGTGTTTTCTTGCATTTAACCCCAGATCAAAGAGTGACGACCAGGATAAGAGAGTCAAA